ACCCCTGCCCACATCCCTGTGCTCCCCAAACCTGGCTCAGCCTGGGAGCTGCTCCGGGAAGCTTACTCATGAGCTGGTGCACGTGCCTGGTGGCCCTCGTCCGCAGGGCGCCATCCCTGCCTCTGCAGCATCATGCTAATGGTGCCCCATGAGCTGGCACATCCCGGCCCATCACGTAACGTTGGACAGGATAGCCTGAGAGAGCCTCACAGTTGGGCAGCATGTGAGACCTGTTCGGTTCAGCTTTCTTCTCTGTCCTTTTCTCTCTGTTAACACAGAGACTCTGCACATGCTTTCTTTCTAACCGCAACGTAACCCTTTTCCCTGGAACATCCTGTGGGTACTTCTGGGGTAATAATGGGAAGATGCTTGCCGTACACAACGCTCACTGTCGCCTGAGCAATGCTCACCGCTCTGTGGTGCCTCTTGTCAGTCTTGTCTAGCTAGCAGCTCCAAGGACAGTCTCTGAAAGTAGCATCCAGCCCATCTCAGTCTTCCTGCCAGCTGGTGCTTCTAGCAGGTGAGAAGGAAGGAGGCAGGCAGAGGAGGAAAGGAGGGGTTTGGCTGGCTGCTTGAAGACCCAGGCCAAAAATAGAGCTGGAATGCTGATGTTGCAGGTGCCTGGTTAAAGCAAAGCAAAGAGTAAATATGCGCGTAAAGCCTTTATTTTTTCCATTCATCACAATGCACTTTTTGTTTCTGACCTTAGCCTCAAGAATGGTGCCAGACATGTTCTGTGATTTCTCCCCTTTTCCCCTCCAGATGTCCAAACGGATTCTTCGGACAGAGATGTTTGGAGAAACTGCCTTTGCGATTGTACATGCCAGATCCTAAGCAAAGTATGTTTGAAGACAAAAAATGCACCACACTACTTAAAACCTCCCGGGCACAGCGGTGGATGTAGAGTGGTCTAGTCAGGGATGGCTCTTGGTGTCAGCTTTGGGCTAGGGCTTAGGGATGCAGGTAAGGGTGAAGGCTGAAAGCAGACAGATAGGAGTCGTGGAAGGGATCAGAAGGGGCCTCACTTTGGTCTGTTTGGGTATCATTTTGCTATCTTGTTTCTCTCTTTCTGGTTTTCTTTCTTCCGGTAGGTGTCCGATCGAATTCACAGGAGACCGGTGTCAGCATTTCGCAATGGTCAGCTTCTCCAGTATGTCTCTTTCTACTTCTCTCTCTCCCTGGTTATTGTAGCTCTGTGTCGTGTCCTTAAAGCAGGTTCTTCTGTTCTCCAAGAGCCCTCTTCCTGTCTTGTGCGCTCCCAGCTCTGCTTGGCCGTAAGAGGAGCTGTGATCGTGTCCAAGAGGAGAATTGGGGCTCTTGTTGTCTCCCCATTTGTTAGAATGGGTTCTGCTTTCATTTCTGATTGAACTTAACGTTGCTCGCTCTTTTCATGCAAAATGCAAATAAGGCACAAGGTTATGTGGTGTGCTGTGTGAGAACAGTCTGTATGATAAGCTGTATCTGCTAGCATTACTGTCTCAAGAGGGACTATGTTGTGCAGATCAAGAGATGTACATTTTCGCATGACTCTTGCGAGGGGGTGTGTGAGTCTCTCTGTACCAACTGAAGAAATCACAGCGAGGGCTGTAATGAAATTTCCCCTGAGACAAGGTTGCGTTTCTGTTTCCAGAAGCTAAACCAAGCGTCAGTTGCTGTTGAGGTGAGATGATTGGAGGCTGGCTCAGAGTCAGATCCTGGAGCACGCCCAGAGGGCTGGACGGGGCACTTGTGCACGCCTGGAGCCCCAGAGGTCAGGCTGGGGGCTGCCACCGTCTCAGGGCTTCCCACGCCTCAGTGCCACGCAGGATACGGGCTAAATCTGCTGACTGGGCATCTCAGACTATATCCCTCCCAGATGCAGAGATGTTCCTGTCTCTCCTAGGGGGTTGGAGAGCCTTGCATATGGGGTGGTGTCTAACTACAGTGACCGATCCTTTAACCTCCTATTCAGTGGGTGTAAAAACCCTAGAGCCCTTGCACTTAGTGCTTCCCAGTTTCTAGTTTCCAGTTCCTACAGGCTCTAGGGCTCCAGAGATGCCTCGCTTATAGACATTGTTAGCTCGTTTTGTTCAAGGCAGGTAATTTTTTGGGTCCATACTCAGACAGTGTCCCAGCATCCGTGGGATCCTGGTCTGGGTAAGGACTGACCTGAAAGGAGGCACAGTTACAGTGCACGAAATGGGCCACGGTCACCCTCTGTGTGACCCATCCTGCCTCCACACTGGCCATTTGGACCACCACAAACGGTGGTTTTAAAAAGAGGCTTTTTAAAAAGAGCCACAAAAGAGGCTTTAATTAGTGGGAACCAGAGGAGAAATGCCTCTCCGTCATGACTCTTTGATTGCCAGTACCCCGTCTCCCACCGCTCTGTAAGAAATCCTGCAGTCCTCATCCTGAACTGGCAATAGCAGGAGTCTCATTAGCACGTGCTAATAGCTGGCAAGCGCTCGCATTAGACTCCCTTCCACAGAGTATACAGACAAGATGCAAATGGCTTTGTGAGGCCCTTGGGACAGCTTGATGTTTTTACATTGCCTTTTGTTCCAAATTGGCTTCCCAAGTTGAAACCTCCATTGATTTATTCTCTCAGACTAAAACATCCAAGTAAGCTCTTTTTAAAATGGCAAAACAAAATGTTCTGTTTTGATCTTTAACCTGATGCAAAAGGGCTTCCTTTCCACTTCTAAGCCCATGGTGTCAGGGACCCTGGCTGCAGACAGCAGTGGGATGCCCACCCGATGAAGCTGATTTGTAGCATGTTTCATGAGGTGGTGTCCAACAGGCTTAAACATTATTGCTACCATGCTGCAAAACCAAAACAGGGGTGAAAATGAGTTTTATGTCAGATAGATGCCTTGTCAGAACATTAATGGCAAGAGTAAACAGCGTGTGTTTTTTCCCCAGCCTGCAGAATCCAGCTTTTTATGGGAATGAGATTTGTTTAAATTTTATTCATGTGTTAGAGGACCGATGCTGACTTTAAAACCAACACATGTACATTTCCTTACCTCAATTCTGCTTTAACCACAGGACAGTAAGGTAAAAAAAGCTTAACAATCCAGGTTACCTGTCTGAACTTGGATAAAAATCATCTAAGAAGATGATTCATATGTGTTTATAGCTGTTTTCACTTTCAGGTCACAGTTGGGTAATATATGTAGCAGCAACACTGCAGAAAATCATGCACTGAACTTGCTGTTCTTCTGAATAGGAAAGGCATCTCACTTGTGTCTGGACTGTGCAAATGCTTACTTTCTACTTTAATCAATAATTAGGGCACAGTAGAAGTTGCTGTTGCTGTGTAATTCACTCGGTGCTTCATCCCATATGGGTTCTGACAGGTCAAAAGCTGAAACAGATTAAATGAGGTTCAGGCATTGCCACTGGAAATAAAATAGCTCCGGCCTAATTCATGTTTTGAGAACATTGCCAGCACTTGACAGGTACTTAAATAGTAAATAATGACACCTACACTGGTGTTGTTTTAAATGCATTTGGGGTATTTTAGGTTTTCAGGCCTAGATCGGAGCCTTCTGATTCTTTGACATAAATATTCAATATTACAATATGATTTTTAGTAGGTATGTCCCAGGGCAGAGCGAGAGTCTCTGCAGAGTGAACTAAATTTAAGATGCTGTTCTGAAAAGATATGGCAGATACTTTGCTGAATTTGGGCCAGAGATGGTGCAGCATCCCAGCATCGTGGCCAGATGTTGTGTATCTTCCTTCTGGGAGCAGCTTCCTATCTCACCCGTTTAAACCCTTATTCAGATTTTGCTCAGGTAAAACTCCCCATGTTCTCTAGGAGTGCAGGCTATCTTTGTCTATTTGACAGGTAGCTCTGGAGGTTTGTTTTTCTCTGATTGTCCAAAATACTTGCTAGACCGCTGCAATTATGAAGATGAAAACCAGATGTATTTAGATAGGTTTTCTTGCGTGTGATGTTTCTTTATGTTGCTGTTACAACCATATGACCAAGTGCCTACTGCCAGACATTCTGGGTATATATCCTACTGCTTGAAAATGAAGAGGAAATGTTAAAGATGGAGGATTTTCTATGTCATGCTCACACTGTTGCTATTTTCTAACAGATTGGTACAGAGGAACTCACTAGGAATTGTATTACTGGGCTAGCTCAGAAACCTCCCAGTCTGTCCCGGCTCAGCCCTTATTTGGATGAATGCCATTTGCTTTTGGTAGGAATTTGCGACAGCAGAATTCAAGCAAGTATCTCAGCAGTTGGTTCCTATCTGCTTATAAGGAGTTTACATTTTATTTTGCTTGCATTGTAATGCAAATGTGATGGGAAATGTGTTGAGATACTGGAGAAAAAAAGCGAAGCATGCTAAAACAGCTTACTTATCTGAGAAAATGGATGCATAGTGCAAACAGACAACATTGCCCTGGCCTAGCAAGGTGCCACTTCTGAGCAGAGCTGTGGTACCTGACTGTGTCAGCTCTCTAAGCCTGCCTTTACACTAAGCCTGCATTAGTCTAAGCCACCCTGATGGTCTGTTTTCTAGCAAGGCTCATACCGTAAGGAAATCTAAGGCAGCATGTTTATTTTGCGCAGCAGTGGCTAGGTATGTGCAGACAGTTTGCTACCATCAGTCAGCAGATGGACAATAACCTGCTAAACAGCAGCAACACAGATGAGGGTCTTTGAGACATTGACGCATAGTAATCCCACATCCAGTAAGGTCTGTGGGAAGCAAAGTCTCACAGGGAAACTTAAAAGCTTTATCTTGTTTATCATGGGTCAGTTTTAGGACAGTATGAGAGATGGCTTTCCCACATTCATCAAAACAGAAAACTACCAGAAGAAGGAAGGAAGGAGAGATGTCAGAGCAAACAACTGCACGTTCACTGAGATTAAAATAGTTGAAAGGTACATATCTGAGAAGACAAAGATGTCCTGACTTAAGATGTGCTGACTTAAGCCTGGTTAGATGTCTTTTGTCTGTATGAAATTTCACTGATTTCAGTTGATCTCTGTGCACACTCCTCCATCCATGCATTAGGAATTGGCTGATGGACCAAGGTTAGAAGACCATGTTGTCCAGGCTTTAACTAACCTGTAAGAGGAAAGCCTTATAGAGGCTGTACAATATAACTGAGGGACATTAAAGAAACATTTAAAGCAGTTTTAATTTAGGCTGAAGGAGAATTAATGGCAGTGAACAGAGGGGACAGCGATTGTCTGCATTTACTATATGAAACAGAGGAATGCCCTGGTAGATGAGAATACAGAGAGTTATTTCCATGGGTGACGAATCATTAAATCATCTTACTAAAATGTTTTTCACATCAAGTTCTTCATAATTCTATGTGTCCATATGATTATAGTTGCAGATATAATTAATATACATACTGCATTGTACATATGATGGTAAAGTCACATCGTCTGCTAGTTTCAGGAGTCAGCTCTTGCAGTTATGGTGTAACTCTGATGGAACCAGAGGACTTGGAGGGTCTAACTCCAAAATGTGACCTAAAGCAGGAATCCTCCCTGACCCTGGCCGCGAGGAATGCAATGTGCAGGCAAGGAGTAACCAGCCATTCACGTCATGAACTTGTCTTCTGAACCCGGTTCTCCCTGCCCCCCTCTTTGCAGCAATAATGCAGCCAGACCCTCATTATTTTTTCAGTGGGCTTTTAGACACCTGTTTGAGAGGTTTGAGTCCAAATTCATAATCCAGGCTCCCTTCATAGTCACTGCAGAGGGTTCGGCACCCAAGGATGAGCATTTGGCTAATTGAATTCCAGTGCTGAGGGTGATGAGTACAAACTCGTAGGTTTAGCTGTCAGATGTCTCTCCCAGAGCCCTGGTACAGGTACTTGCAGAGTCACAGGTCACAGGCGTCTCTGGCTGTCCATGCACTAGTGAGAACAAAGGTTTAACACATAAAACTGTTGATCCACGGCCTGAATGAATCCATAGCATTAGTACCCAGGGACCATTTTGCCTCTGCAGTCAGATCTTCATCTCTGCTGGCACACGTGGGTGAAAAGTTCAGGAATATCACAAAAGAGTCAGGAAGCCCTTCTAATATGAGAGCTTCTAGTGGTTACAGGAGACTCGCCCAATTGACAGCTGTCTCTTGGGTCCAGCTTCACAGGCACAGCTATGTCTTGCAGCTCTTTCCAGAA